CTTGTTTCATTATTATGATGTTCTGACTTTAATTACATTAGCCCTGCTGACATCTTCCCTTAATGAAAAGTGGTTCACTTTCAACCACTTTGTTCATCCCAACCTAACCAACCAGAACTCATTATTTTAGCTCCAAGACTTTCTTGATGGTCGGGTTGACAGTGAGCCTGTATTAAATATGAACTCTTACCTGAGGGAGCGCAACATGGGCCCACTGTTGTTGTACATACTCTGAGAGCCTGCTGGGCTCAACAGCAAAGGACTCTGGGAGCGTGACGAGGAACCGGATGATGTGCTATCCAGGTAGCGACCTCCTTTGGATTTGAAAAACAAACAAACAAAAATTACATGAGAGAGATAACCCAAATTACAGTTATTTTAGGAAAGGGCAGTTAGCAGTCCAGACTTTCAGCTGCTCCCTTTAGCACACAGAAGATCATCTGCCTCCATCTCACCCTATCCCAGCATCCTCCTCTGTCACACCGGCCCTCGGGATATCCTCCTTCACTACATGCATGAGTCTGTGAGGTCTTCCTCTTTTCCTCCTGCCTAGCAGCTTCATCTTCAGCTTCCTTTGTCCGATATATCCACTCTCCCTCCTCTGCTTGTTTCCAAAACCATCCCAAACCCCTGAACTCACTTCCACCCACTCCACCTCACTGCCTGTTGCTTTGGATGCTTGGTCCTTGTATTTAAGCTCACTACCTTTGCACCTTCATGTTGACCTTTCCACCCATCTCCCTCCATACTCCAGTATTCTGTCTGGCTTGTACAGACTTTCATTAGTCCAGTCTCCAGAGCATACCTCCACCTCTTAAGGCTCTCTTGCTCTCTACTCTCAATTTTCTCTGCAAAAATCAGGATCACGACTTAGTCAGTTTGCTCTTTTTAAATTAATTTCCATAAAAGTTGTCTCGTAGTATGTCTTCATTAAATTGCCCCATTTTGCATTTTTTCCTTTTAGAACATTATTTCTACTTGAGTCGCTCTTAATTCCTATAAATATTTAACACGAGCAAACTGGTCTCATACTACACATATAACAAAGTGTTCCCTGTTTTTAGAACGTTATTTTTCTTCTAGTTTGTACTTGAACCCTAGCTTAAAGACCTCAGTGCAATGTTTTAGCATCAGTGAGGGCTGTTTAGATTAGCACACCAGACACCTCACAATCGAATTTCTCCTCATAAACAAGTGTTTTTACACCAAGCGAGGAGTGGTCCATGCAGCCTACAGCAGCAAAGCCAACAGCATGGACCAGCTCATCACTGCTGTTAGTGAGGATCTTTTTCTCGCTGTTCTTGTGTCTCTAGAGAGACTTTCAGGCTCTTGCAGTATATTCCTGTGAACCATCCATACTAACAATCCTTAACGCAGTCCTATAGTGCAAACCACATTATAGTGCTATCTCTCTTTATTCTGGAGCTGAAGCCTGATGTGTCAGCAGCACTGCTCACATGCTGGAGCTCTGTTTAACAGCTCTGCAGCAGCTGGCTGCCTCCTCTCCAAGTCAAACAGATGTTGGTAAATGTGCACTTGTCGTAAGGCATTTTAAGGTCGACTTACTCCTTCCTGCCTATAGGCAGAGTACTCTGACTAAAATAGAATGGTTGTTTTCTATTTTCGATTTCAAATGTTAAAGGTCATGTTGGTCTTTGCTTTAGAAATTGGACAACAGTTTGAAGAATACCTGAAAGTATACTTTTTAAACACAAACTGATCAGGAAAATAATACCAAATAATAATAAAATAATATTTGCATAATCAATAGACTGAGACATGACTTTCTCATGGACTTTAAGGCCATTTTCCACTGTTTCCATGATGTGACTGCTAACCAGGCTCCCTAAGAAACGGACAGCACTGTTGAAAAGCTGCATGTTAATCCAAACCACAACCACCAAACACCATCAAGTCATTGGTTCAGGTATGTGGATGACACCACGGTGAAAATTGAATCTCAGGACTTACCACAATTTACTAGATCACATCATCTCAGTGGACCGACACATCAAATTCACCAGGGAAGATATGAAAAGTGGCAGGTTAGCCTTCTTAGACTGTGAGATTTCCATCAGTAATGGGGGACATCTAAAAGCTGACGTGTACCGTAAACCTACACATACGGACGCTACAACACAGAGCCAACACCATCCCCACTGACACAGCAGCCAGGGAGGCAGAAGAACATCAAGAAGGCCCTGAGTAAATGTGGTTATCCCAGCTGGACTTTTGTCAAAGCAGGAAAGGCTCCTAAAGAAAGCTCCAGCTGATCCAGGAGAGAAGGACAACCGCTGCCTACGAGAAAACCTGTAGTGAGCCTGTATGTGTCAGGAGTATTGCAGCAGTTGATTTTCTCTAAAAGATGCATCTCTGTGGCTTTTAAACCCCAAAACATGCAGCAGTAAAAATCAGTCCACCCGGCACAAACAGAGTATGGTGTTCCTAGGGAGCATGGAAACAAATGGCCTTAATGAAAAAAGTCCATCAGAAAGTGACTTCTCAGTCTATTGATTATTGTTACCTAATGACTGAGCTTTCTGACAGAGACATAACAGAGAAAAGCTGTTTTGTCTCTGTCAGGAAGGCAGTTTGATCTACTGCAAAGACTGTACCGTGTTGTCTTCATCCAAAGCAGAGGGGCAGAGAAAAACATGTTTCTCTACATGCAAACACATTATTACAGCAGTACTGTGTCACGTGCATGACAAAAACACTTTGTTCTAATGCAAATGCAGCAACAGCTTTCCATTAAGAAAGAAATGAAAATGAAAGTGGAAATCACCAAGCAGAGCTAAGCAGAAACATCCCTACCTTGCTGGATCGGAGAGTTCCGTGTTGATCCAGTGCTGCCATTAGATCCATATTTCTCTAGCAGATCAGCAAATTCTCTCCTTTTCAAGAGAAACAGATGTTGAGACATGACAGGATGACTGCATGTTACATGTTAAAGCCAATGATGTTGTAATGATTTGTGTAGACCTGGACAGCTTTGCTTTGGGAAGTGATATAGGTACATATAAGCTCTTTTAAGTCATATACTCCAGGAAAATCACAACATGTCAGAAACAATTCAAATGAATGGCAGGCAATCATTCTGCTGAGTACTTTTTGCAGCCCTTCTTTATACCCAAAAACATCAGGACACTGTGTAAAACGTAAATGTAAAACAGAATGTGATTATTTTTAGGCTTCATCAATACATATTTTATCAAAACATAAACATATCAAATGTTTCCATTGAGAGGTTTTTATATTTCATGAACAATATGAGCACATACTAAATTTGAAGGCAACAACACAACAAAGTTAGGTCAGGGTCACGGAATGCTGGACAACTCAAAAGAAACAGCTGCAGCTAATCATGTTAACTGGTAACAGGTCAGCAGCATCATTGTGTATAGAACAATAGAACAATTTTAGAATAAGATTGCTTTAATGACACGTCACAGTTATATTAGTTAACCACAACTAAACTGAAAAACTAAAACTAGGTGTGAAAAACAAAAATGAAGGCCTTCATATTTGAATACTGCAGCTATTAGAACAGCATTGCTTCTGAACTGGCCTCCCTGCAGTCCAGACCTTTCACCACCTGAGAACATTTAGAGCCTTATGAAATGAAAAACACAAAGAGAAGAGCCGGGACTGCTCTGAATCCTTAGCTCACAGACCATTATGGAAGCAGGGATGCTGCACAGTGGGAAACATGCGCTTTTCCAGTGTTTTTCACACGTTGCTGAAATCAAATTCAACATTTTCTCAGTTTAAACATTTGAAATAAATTATTTTCTATGTTCTATTGTGAATAACAGTGTTGCAGCTTTTTCAAAATGAAAATCCTTGTTTCATGAGACGGGCCACACTCTTACAACACCACACTATGATCGTCCCTGTGGACGCTGATTTAAATTTGGCATTTCTTAGCGGATTATGATAAGTAGTCACATTGGCTGTGGAAAAATAAAGACACAAACTGAGCTTGGAAAGAAAATAAAAAATAAAAACACCTCACACCTGCTATTATCAGCAGCAACAGACGATTGGGTTAAAGGTGCCGTTTAACAGTGAAGGATGAGCAGATATGTGCTGTCAGTGCCGACTGACAGGACATTTAGGGTCTAATATAGCACCATGACACGCCTGTGCCTGTTCAGCAACGTTCACCATCCGTGTGCGTGTGTGCATCTGCACGTGTGCATGTGTCTGCGTGTGTGTCTCTGCATGTGCGTGCGTCTCTGCATGTGCGTGTGGTCTGCATGTGCGTGCGTCTCTGCATGTGCGTGTGTCTCTGCATGTGCGTGTGTCTCTGCGTGTGCGTGTGGTCTGCATGTGCGTGCGTCTCTGCATGTGCGTGTGTCTCTGCATGTGCGTGTGTCTCTGCATGTGCGTGTGTCTCTGCATGTGCGTGTGTCTCTGCGTGTGCGTGCGTGCGTCTTTGTGAGAGAGAGACATATTTAGGCTCAGTCACCTTCAGCTGGCTGTTGTTGTGATCTCAGAGTCATGGATTGAACTGAACTTTGGGTTAGTTTGTGTTGCCGTCTGTTCTCTTTCAATAAAACATGCAAACGTGTTTACAGAATGCTTCTCACAAAGCACAATGCTGCAGATGAAAAGGCTTAACTTATCAATAAGTGTTTTTCCTTTTAACTGTAATTTGCTGCCGGTAAGCAAACAGCACATGCTGGGACACTTCTGGGTTGTATTTGTGTCGGGGTGGGGGTGTAGACAGATATAAAGATAGAGACGAATAATCCCGACTCCCAGTCCCCAGCACTACTGCTGTCTGCCCGCCAGCTCCTCTGGGCTGCAGGGTAGTTAAAGCACACAGTGCAGATTAACATACAATGCTCATCATCCAAAGCATCGTCTCCGTTAAGCTCTCCCCCTCCCCGACTCTGCTGTCACATCCTCTGCGCAGAACACAAAGAGATGGAGAAGGGAGGATAGAGTGGCTCAGGCAACCTCACTGCTGACACAGCTTGGCCTCAGAGAAATAGGTACTACACTACACACAACATTGTAATTCTACATATCCACCCTGTATATGAGGACTCTGCCAGTGATGACTTCAGTCTGGCATGTATCTTCTCCAACAGCCGAGGTATAAATCCCAACTGTCACGCTGTCTTCACTGAACACGCAGAATATTGCATTTTTAAGTAAAGCTCATGGCTGACACTAGTGTGCAAAGTCTCACTGTTTAAATATGCAAATCCTCTACTACCTTTGTCACGGATCACGTTGTGTGCAGTGGATTTGAAGGGAAGACAAGGCCAATGCTGACAGCTGGCACTGACCTTGTTTTCACTCAGACTGGCCATAGTCAGATTAGAAAGCTGGTTCAACACTAATACTACCAGCCAGGAGTAATGCTAGTATGGTACTGTCAGCACAGTTCAGGCATCATGTGTTCCACTCATTTTGAGCTTGTTATTCACGAGTTGTTTGAGTGGAGCTGGTGTGTTAAACAAAAGGAATAAAAATGGATCCATCTTTTTTGGTGCTAGTTTGCTTTTCACATGTACCCCCCCCACTCCCAAAACAAAAACAAAAACAAACAAAAACAATAAGGCCAGAAAACACTGCTGTTCAGGCTGCAATTGGAACACCCACAATTTCTTTTAGTTCAACGTCATCAAAAACTGTTTTTTAGTCCATTAGATCTGGCCCAAATTGAGCCCAAGACGAACGCCTTTTTTGGACATGTATCCCTAATGTAACCATAACTCTGTGACAGCACTAGCAGATGCCTCAATAGTGAGACATGAAACCCACTCAAAGAAAGTTGTTCGTTGCTTCTACACCTAAAATTCATTTGGTGTCATTTGGTAGTGGTTGAGTTTGGTAAATGGTAAATGGACTCGTTCTTATATAGCGCTTTTCCACTCTTCTGAGCACTCAAAGCGCTTTACACAACTTGTGCATTCACCCATTCACACCCATTCGCACAAGCACAACTGACATTCACACACATTCATACTCCGATGAATGCATCGGAGAGCAATTTCGGGTTAGTATCTTGCCCAAGGATATTTGGCATGCAGACTAGGGGAAGCCGGGAATCGAACCACCAACCTTCCGATCAGTAGATGACCTGCTCTACCACCTGAGCTACAGCCACCCAAAAAAGTTTGCTTTTTGGGTGGCAAACTCAAAGTCTTGAGTTTGCTTCAAGATGTTGTGTGATTTCACTGATTTCTATAACGGATTCAATTCTGATTCACAAGGTCTCAATTTGATTCAATTTTCAGTCAGAAAGATTATAATTCTGATCATTTATCAGCACATATCCATAATTTATATCTATGTATAAAAAGAAAGCTGACTCTGTGAGACTCTATCAGAGGTGTGAGCATCACAGCGGACGACATCCATCCATCCACCCATCCATCTTTTTCCGGTTTATCCGGGGCCAGGTCGCAGGGGCAGCAGCCTAAGCAGAGAAGCCCAGACCTCCCTCTCCCCAGCCACCTCCTCCAGCTCGTCCGGGGGAACACCAAGGCATTCCCAGGCCAGCCGAGAGATATAATCTCTCCAGCGTGTCCTGGGTCTGACCACGGGGCCTCCTCCCGGTGGGATATGCCCGGAACACCTCACCCAGGAGGCGCCCAGGAGGCATCCTTGTCAGATGCGCCTTGAGGCGACTTTTGTTGTGATTTGGCGCTATATAAATAAAACTGAATTGAAATTGAGATGCCTGAACCACCTCAGCTGGCTCCTTTCGATGTGGAGGAGCAGCTCTGAGCCCCTCCCGGATGGCTGAACTTCTCACCCTATCTCTAAGGGAGAGGCCAACCACCCACCCAGGCCACAGCGGATGCCTTTGTGTTAAAGTAACTGATCAGACGAGATCGGGCAATCTCAGGGTGCTATGGCTGTGATCTCAGAAGCTAAGCAGCGTTGGGCTTGGTTAGTACTTGGATGGGAGAGAAACATGAAGGCGACTTTCCTGGCCTGGCTTTTTTTTTAGCAGATAACCTTAAAAATATTCTGAAGAAAACTGAAGAAAAGCATGAACCAACATTTGAACATCACCTGATGCTGCTGAAGTGAAGCAGAGCAAAGTTACAGAGGTTTGATTAGAGACACGGCTAAGAGAGTTGCAACTTGGCATCATTTGTAAAAGTTTATATTTTTTTGGTATTGAACAGCAGAAATGAGACTTTCTTGTCAAAGGTCATTTAAAAAAACAAAAAAAAAACTACAGAAACTAATACAGTCCACATGGTTTTCACTGCCCTATGCATCGCCAAGAAAACGGTCCTCATAAACTGGAAAAATAAAAATAATCTTAATTCTAACCAATACAGAAACCATCTAATAGATCACATTAGTCTCGAGACAGCCTCTGCCATCACATTAGATCAATCCCTCTGGGCTCCTTTGATTAGCGCTATCACCTAGCGGGGGTGGGGGGTCATGGTTTGGTCCCGCCTTCGCCATTGTGGTTGATGTGGAGTTGGGACGGGCTTAGGGCGTCTGGAGAATCCCTAGGGACGTTATCCCTGGAGGGCTTAACCTAGGGGTTGTGGTCATAACCTGGTTAGTGGCTCTGGTTGCTCTTAGAGGGTGTTCTCCTTGTGGCTGCGTGCAGCAGGGCTGGGGAGGGTCTGTGCTGGTGGACGTAGGTTACTGGCCTGGTAGCCTGGCTGCCCCTGAGTGAATCCGGGGCAGGCGTGGGGGCTTGGGGTTCGGGGGTGCTTCGCCTCCGTGCTAGGGCTCTGGCTGCGCCTTGGGGGCTTAGGTCCCTGTTGGTGTGTCGCCGAGGTTGTGGGCAGGTGGATGCACGGGGGCTCAGCCCTGGCGCAGGGGGCCTCTGGCGCATCTGGCTAACTAGGGGGCTCTTCAACTGACAGGGAGTTTGTTCCATCCTTGCAGGAGTCCACTCTGCAGGTGGGGGAGAGTATAGGAGAGGTGGGGAATAAACTTAACCTGGGTGTCTACTGTCTTGTGCAGTCTGGGAGATGATTAAATGTTAGGGTGGGTACAGTTTCCTCTGTGGTGGGCTCGGGTGGGCTGCCCCGGGTCCTGTGGGGCTGGGCGGACCTGCTGCCGTAGGCCCAGATCTTGATGGGCCTGGGCTCCCTTGCCTTGGTGGGTGCCGAAGGACGGGGGTGCCTATTGGGGTCAGCGGGGAAGCTGGCCCCAGGGAGGGGCATCTTGCTCCTCCCTTCTCTTTCTCCCCATCCCAGGCTGCCTCCCTCTTCCCGCTCCAACACACCCACCCACTCAAGTAGGGCCTTGGGGTGCGGGTGTGTCACCAGGGTGCAGGGGAGGCATTCCCCCCGTCCCCTTCTGGCAACCTGTGCCTGAATTTTATTCCACAACTTAGACATCCACATTACTCACAGTCTCATAACACACACATATATATAGGGCCTTGAGGGTGGGCACGTTAACGGTGTTCAGTGGACGGTCTGTGTATTCAGCCCCACCTCTGGCGCCGGTGCCCACCTCTCAATTTTAAATCCATGTAGACATTGAGGGTTCTCGGGAGGGGCCGTGCTAACACCTGCTGCTCTCTGGCAGCAGCACCATGCTCTCCCGTTTTTTAAATGCACCTTAGAACAACACGCAGCAACACTACACATGAGCGAGAGGGGAGAGGTATGGGGTCTTCACACACCCCTGTTCTCTGCTGGCCATCGGGGCGGGGGGGCTGGGAGGAGGTGTTGGCCGTCCGATTGGGATCTGGGATGCGGGGCCTCCCTGCTGCTGCGGAGCCTGGGGCGGTCTGCTTGCCTCCACCCCGGGGGAAAGGGTAACATCTCCTGGGTCTAGGTGCTGTTTCCCCCTCCAGGGGTGAGGGTACCGGGACCTGGGGTATAGAATTTGTTTGGGGAGTGTGATTGTGTGTACAGTGTCCATGTATGTCTATCCCTACGTTGAGTGAGTGCTGAGTATTTGTATATGTGTGCATGAGGGTGGGAATGCATGTTTGTGTCTGTGTGTGCCTGTTTGTCTGTGTCTATATGTCAGGTCGGGTCTTACACTCCACCTCTCTGGGAACTCCCAGGCCCTCCAAGGCCTATCTCCCCTCACCAAACTCCCTGCCGGTAACTGATGCCCTCAGGGGTCGGTGCGTTGGTGGTTCTTGGTGTCCGGGGCTGGGCGCTCAGGTATGTACCAGCTCACTCCCGGTGACTACTTGGCAGGGCCTGGTGCCTGTTGCTCGGTCAGGCCTCTTCCCGGGGCAAAGGGGGCCCTCGGGCCTCCGGCCTCTGGGCCTGCGGTTCACTCTGGCACAGCTGGCTGCCGGCAGAGCCACCACTGGGTGACCCCTCATCTGGGGTTCTCCTCAGCTCTTCCCAGGAGGGTGGCACGGATGCCCCTCCGGTGGCCCTCCTTGGGCTCTCGCACTCTGGGGCCTCTGGATATCTGGAGGCTGGATCGCCTCCATGCCTGCTTCATGCCCTGGGGGACAGGACTATCGCTCTCCACATCCTCTAGCACAGTGGTTCCCAAACTTTTTTTGCTGGGCCCCCCTTTGTTTTACAAGAAAAATGTTCGCACCCACCCGCAAGCATGCACGCACACATCCTCCAACCACACACGCCCATATTTTGCTCCATAGCGGTTTATTTCACACCTCAAACATTTAGTAAACAATTAAGCAAATACAAGTAATCTGCAATAAATTACAGGTAGTAAGAAAATAAACTACTAACTCTTTTACGCTACGTCCACACCTACATGGGTATTTTTGAAAACGCAGCTGTTTCGTCCAAGCGTAAACGACGTTTCGAATCACCGAAAACTGAGATTTTTAAAAACTCCTTTTTTGCATTTATGTGTGGACGAGGAATACAGAGTCTGCTCTAGCAGACCATTACATGGGGAAACATTTTGAATACAAGCGCGCTGATCCACACAGGTGTGCACACGCGTGTTCACTGTTCATAGACATAAACTACACCTTTATTGGCTGCTATTTCCAAGCACATTGTGCGCTGTCGGTCCTGCTTGCTACACAACAACATTCAATATTTAGTATTTACTGCTGTTTACACTTAGCTAGATTAACGTGATGGTGTTGTGTTTAGTATGTTGCTCTGTTTTTTTTTGCTTGTTTTCTCTTCTTCTCTTTTTAAGTGCCCTTTCTCACTAAAAAAAAGAATAAAATAAAAAACTGGATAAAAACTTCATCCTTAAAAAAAAAAAAGACACCGGCCGGGGCCTCCCTTGCTAGCAAGTAAAAGATGTTCATCTTGTTTTTGTCGTTAACGAGAATACGTTTCTAAACTAGCGGGGCTTGTGGAAACACAGACCCAACACCTGCAGCATCAGAATCTGTGAGTAGAACGGGGGGGCTCCACGCTCTGTGTTTACATTTTTGAAGGGAACTTGTTTACCTGCTCTCATTTACTGTTTTAGCTGTTTGGTGATTGTTGAAACAGTTTTGTGAGCTTTAACCTGAGATTCTGGCGTTTCTGGTAAAATACATAAATATTTAAAAATCGATTCAGGATTTAATGAACGCATTATTCAAATTGAAATCAGGGAAATTGATTTTTTAAACCCACCCCTAGTGACACCCCTGTCCACAAGGTGGATTTTCAAGGGTTTGTTGACAGTATAAAAAAGGGATTCTTGATGGACCAGATACATCTGCCTGTGGCTGCATCACTAATCCAGCCACAAACCACAGGCACTCGCTCTGCATTGCCAGCACTACAGATAGTCCATAGTAAACTTTGTGGCTTAACAAAGGATTTAATAATCAACTCTCAAACCTGCTGGGAGTTTGATTCCCTTTAAACAGTTGTACAGGTGCAAGTTCATGGTCTTTCTGTAGGCATCATGAAATGCATCCAAATACTCCACTGCTCGACTAGACAGCAAGGCCTGAGAACTGATCATTTAATAGCCTGGCTCCCTGACATCACTCACAGAACCTTTGGGCCCTCTACAAAAGCAGGACCTACAGTAAACCAAGACAGTACTCCTTTTTGAACAGCATTCAGGGGGCATTACTGCTGTTTAGGGCAAAAAAAATGATTTTGACTACCACACACAAGCTCATTTTTATAGTCTGCAGAGAAACAGTGGCAATAACACACAGGACTGTAGACAGACTTCTGCTTACTTTGCTTCCTCATCTCTGGCTACAAGAAGTCGCATGTGATTGGTTGCAGAGGCTGCTCTCAAGATATCCACAGCTCTGTGAAACACATGCAAACACATTTACACAGATTGTCTTCCAGCATCACTACTGTTAACATGAGAGCAGTGACTTTAGCAGATTACCTTTCACTTGTGACACCTACTAGGCTGTCCCCATTCACTTCCAAGATCTGGTCCCCTGGCATCAGGTTTCCTGTGAAAGGTTAAACACAGATTACATGCAAGTGCAGAGGGGAGCTGTCAGCTGGACAGCAGTGGTTCATTTTGGATGTTTCTTTCTTTCGGGTTGACCCCAAAACGTGTTATATCTTTAAAGAAAGTGTTGTCAAGTGAATGAGCTGCCAGGTTAGTTATATATAATGCAATATAATATTATATAATAAGCTCAGGTTATTCATGCTCAGTTATTTCTAAATCAATAACAATTATCCATTACTGTATCACGTTTGTGTAATCGAAGAAAACCTCCGTTTTGCTAGAGTTATCTGATTTTTACTCTACTGCAAACGTCTTAGAGTAAGTTTAAAAAGAACATAGAAAACAAAATACAACATTGTTCACTTCAAATGAAATATTACCCAGAAAGGGAGCTGCTTGGCTGAGGTTTTCACTCTCAGAGTGAGTCCTTGTTCCATTATACGAGCTTCTTTCAAAGTTTTGTTTCCGTCATGGATTGGCCTCCCCAAAGCCCACACATTACTGAAGCAGTGTGAGATCATCTTGACAGAGAACAGACCAAAAGGCAGAAACATCCGAAGAAGAGCTTTGAATGTCCTTCAAGAAGCCTGGGGAACTATTCTTGAAGACTACTGAAAGAAATGACAGAAAGCTGCCTCAGAGAGTTTAGGCTGGGCTGAAGAAGAAATATTCCCAAATAGTCCCTTTCAAATTCGCTGGAACTAAATGAACTCTCTTTTTGCCTTATATCCTATAGGACCCATGAATGTGTCTTACAGAAAAAGGGATTTATGATATGAAGTCCATCCAGCCATGGGGGGTGGCTGTAGCTCAGGAGGTAGAGCAAGTCATCTACATCTACTTAGTGGTTTGATCCGTGGCTCCACCACGCAGGCCAAATATCCTTGTACAGTAAATGAGAACAAGAAGACTGTAGAGAGTTCCACTGGGATTAAAGACCATCCGTTTGATGCTGAGGACTTTGATTCTGCACATTGTGTGCCGTAGTCTGAACCTGCTCATGGTAACATTTATCTGGCCACTTCAAAGACTGTGTTCACTGAGTTAGATGTCTGACAGACATGCTGAATGGTTATGATGGATTTTTTTCCCTCTAGTGACACCAAACATGCTGCGTACCTCAGCTTTAAACCAACATCAGACTCAGTTATGAGTTAAACAGCAACATCTTGCACATTTTAGTGTGAACTCACTTGAAATTGACATGAAAATCTTAGTGAGGAGTCGGGGATGTGAACTGTGAGCTCAGCTCTTCTAACTGGAGTTTAAATGTCAGACTGGTGGGTCAGGAAGAGACCAGCACTGCAACAATACAGCAAAACCCTTTGATCTGTATACCAGCAGCTGAAGAAGAATGTGGCCTAACTAAAGTCAAGCATATGTGGTGTTCTGGACAAGCTGTAAGAAACAAACAACAATTTTTACAGACACTTCTCTCTTTGCCCTATATCCATCATTCATGGTGCGATACACAAAAAGTAGGCCAAGACAATCTTGTGGTGTATATTATTCATGTTTTAATACTCACAGGAGATATGCTCCAAAAATACTTGTTCTCACTGCAAAGGTCTTCAGTCAGGCCACTGTCAACGTTCATTTCTATTCTTTGGCTTTTGGAGTCATTCACATGATCTTCATGAATGGGAAAAATTAGCACAAGGGCTCGCTAAATTTCTACATTATGTAGTAAAGGCACAAACAAAGGATTTGTGCATTTAAAATAACACCAGCACCGCTGCAGACTGCATGCTTGGTCTCAACCGACATGTTCAGGGTGTTGCTGTGAAATATCGGAGGAGACAATGGAAATGTCCACAAATAACTGCTGTACTGTTATGTGGCTTTTCTATAGGCCAAGCCAACTTGGTCTTCTTCACCTCTTTTGAACTTTCTGGGAAATATTCAGGAATTACCCACTCAGTAATACTGCTTCACATAGAGCCTATAAATGTTCAGTCATTCTCCAACAGAGATGTTGGAGAATGACTGAACATTTATAGTCCCACAAGTATTTTCTCTTTTTCTTATCGCCCCAATTCAGAGGCGGAAGTCGAAACTTTTACTGCCTTTGTTCTAGAAATATTATCTTCTGTGTTGGGGGTCAAAGTAACTAGTCTAAATTCAGACTGTGCTGTTCTAGCACAGTCTGACCAAAGGTTTCTGGATTTCAAGTCTTACCATCAGTTGAAGCAAGGCCACCTGGTAAAATCCGTTTGACGTAGACTCCAAACTCCTCTCCTGTTAGCTCCTTCACTCCACCTATCACTTTAATTCCTGTAGAGAGAGAGATAGAAAAAGAGTACTTTAATGGGTTTTCCAGTGTTTCTTTAATGATTTTTTGCTCTCCAGCCACTTTGTGCCTTGTAAAAAATGACTGTCATCTCAAGATGGCAGTGGAGTCACTGCCTGGAAACAATGCATCATAGGGAACACTCTGATTTCCAGGTTAATGACAGTCCTGCAAAAACCTGCTCAAGCACAACAGACAGAGGTTCATGTCTCCTGGCACACTGTTGTCAGATTTCTTCCATCTATGACCTGGTTACATTTCTTACAGCTCAAAGGGGTTCATTTGACTGACGGGCTTCCCTCTGCATTATTGTCTTTACCCTTGAGGTGACTGCTCTTATGATTTGGCATTATATAAATAAAACCTAATTGAATTTCTGAAACAAAACGAGCTGGTTGGACTGTGTGCATTTAGACTGTGTTTTCCTGTCTCTGAAACCTGTGCCACTGCAACCACTAAGCATAGAAGAAAGTCTTTATGACCAGATCAAGCTTTATGTAAAGCACTCTTACTTTAATGCACTTTCCCCCGTACACTAAATCACCACTCCACCACTATGTCACTGTTCCACACCATTTCCACAGTAAGAAGCAATTCAATTCCAAACAGAAGAAATGCCCCTGTGGGCCTGTGAGCTTGAGGGTCCTGCTCAGTATTTTACTGTTCCTAGGACAGCATCCTTCTGGACAGAGATCTCCAATGTTGTTCCTGGGATCTGCTGGAGCCACTTGCCTCGCTTGGGAGTCACTGCTCCAGTTACCACTGGAACCACTGTTAGCTTCACCTTCCACATTTTTTGAGTTCTTTTCTCAGCCGGTGGTACTTCTCCAGCTTCTTGTGTTCCTTCTTCCTGACATTGCTGGTATAGCTACTAGAGATGGACTGATCCGATATTACGTATCGGTATATCTCTAAAGCTACATCTATTACTGCGGCCATCTCTGGTTGTCCACCACTACTATGTCTGGTTCGTTTACCATCACCAGTTTGTCCATGTGTATCTAGAAGTCCCACAGGATCTTAGCTCAGTCATTCTTAACCGCCCTAGGGTGCGTCTCCTATTTTGACCTTAGGACTTCCAGGCTATACTCGGCACTGAGGTATTCACGCGGTCAGTTATAGTCAACTTCCTGATGTACTCGTGGATGTTTGTTGTCTCATCCTGGACTGTGGTTCTGACATTCAGTAGTCCCGGGCCTCCTTCCTTCCACTTAGCGTCTCAGGATGCTTGACTTGGGGTGAAGCCCTCCATCCCCGGTAAGGAGCTTCCTTGTCTTATTGTCAGTGGCTTCTATCTCCTCGTTTGGTCACCTTATTATCCCAGCAGGGTACCTGATCGCCAACAGGTTGTAGGTGTTGATCTTGTTCTGACCATTCAGCTGACTCCTCAGGACTTGCCTGACCCTCTGCAGGTACTTGGTGGTTGCAGCTTTCCTAGTCTTTCCCATTTGCCTGTGGGATCCCCAGGTACTTGTAGCTGTCCTCAGTGTCTACATGTTGCCTTCTGGTAGCATGGTCCCCTCTGACTACCTTCCTTCTCTTGTTACCATCAGGCTACACTTCTCCAGTTTAAATGATGGATGGTGACTTGTGCTATTGGGTTGAAGTTGGCCTCTAGTGTTGTACACCACATCCCCATTGAGTTTCTGATGAAGGCTTTTAGAGTCCCGTTGATCTTATATAGTTCTAGGATCCATGTGTAGAGCATCGAGTCATAGGCCTTCAGGTAATCAGTCTCGGGTGACTGCTATGTCTACCAGAAGCCAGTGTTTCTCCTCTGGTATTCTTGCTCATGTGTCAAGCCACGTGCCTGTTTATCTTAGCTGCTATGATGCCTGACAGGAGCTTCTATGTGGTACCGAGGCAGGTTATTGGCTGGTATTTGGATAGGACCAGTCCCTTCTGGGGATCCTTGGGGATCAGGACCTTCCGGCCTTCTGTTAGCCATTCTGGGTGCGTTTCATCCATTAGCAGCCTCATTGAGTGCAGTCAGCTTCTTCAGCCAGTAGGCGTGAATCATACTGATCAGATCAGCTGATTAGTCTCAGGTTGCATCCCTACCGGTTGCAGTAGGGATTGTCTATAGTGCTGCATTCAAGTGCTGCTTCTAGTAGACCTTCAGAGGGTAACTTATGTAATCTTTCTAACTGGCTACAGAGGATCCAGGTTTCCAGCTTCGGCATGATGCAAAGGAGCAAAACTCCAATATGGATAGAAAACAAATAATAATAATTGTAATAATCTTATCACTACCAATTAAATGTAAATAATTTAAGCAACAGTAACTATAACTGAATCAGTGGACAAAATGATTCCACGTTCATGTGTTTTATGCACACTTTACACACACAGCTTCTACAGCTCCAACAGCCCATCTGATTCCTGCACGTGGATCTTTCATCACTGCACTCCACAGAGAATATAGTAGAGTTAACGCTGAAATCAGGCCTTCTTTAGCTTAAGGCTTCCACTGGCCTGCTGGAGCCAACACAGAGTGTTACAACTAATTGGGTCTGGAGTGAAGGGCTCAAGTTAATTATCGCCTGGTGAAACAGTGGGGTTTTAAAGTTCCTTGTCTCAGTCCTCCCATCCTTTTATACTCTTCTCTGAGGAAAACAGTTTCTTGTTCTTTTAAGCCTCAAAGCAGTCTCCTCCCCTCATCTATCATCAGATAAGAAAAACATGCAGCTGGAGCAAATATGAAAGACTTGCATCCCTTGTTCTTATTCAGCTTTGCATTTACTTTCCGAATCATTACTTCCCATTCACAATGAGTCAAGGGCATATTTCTTACACAAGAACTGAATGTTCCAGATCTAAACAAAATGTGGGGTTATTCAGTGTGATTACAAAGGGTTCTTAAAATGGTTTCTTATTCCCCAGATAACACAAGAACGTGAAATATAAAATGTCTGTTGAGTAGGGAGAGTGATTTTTGAAAACCGTCTTCTTTAAAGCACAAGCTGCAGATACTGCCAACATGTCAACAAAATGAACTGTGACGGACACGATTTTCACTGCAAACACCGTCCCCTGCCCACAGGCTGATGCTGTGCTGCTTTCAGCTGCACTAACAGAGAGATTCAAAAGCTCTGTCCTCCATATGCGATTGTATGCTACAGTGTGTACAGCAGCCCTTCCCCCTGCTGAAAGCTACATGTGTACACTAAGGAAGCCTTAAGACTTTAATATATGTATCAGAACACTGTATTCACCTGCATGTGCTCAGGTTGGATGGGAATTAGTTGCTTTGCTTCTCACCTGCGTGCACATATTGATACACAGGTTGGCTTTTACGCATCTTCATTCTTCAGACTTTTTGGCTTTCCAGTAAGTCAAAAAACCTTTATGACGCTTACACATATGTATAAATACAGCACAACCAATTACTTAAAATCACTGTTATGCCAAAAGCATAACTGGATAGAAAATAAAACCCTCACAGTGGCCAGTTCATGACCGATGGTTATGGACTGGACTCCTCAAAGCCCGGACCTCAACATTATTGAAGCAGTGAGGGTCATCTTAAGAGAACATCCAATGAAGAGCTTTGACTATCCATCAAGAAGCCTGGAGAACCATTCCTGAGGAACACTTAAAGAAATGACAGAGTCAGAGTCATGCTCAGTCTGTCAGCTGCCTCAGAGAGTTCAGGCAGTGAAGAAGAATAAAGGTGTTCACACCAAATATTCACTTTCAAATTCTCAGTAAATCACTGGACCCATTTCTCATTTTCCTAGCCAAATATATATTGCATAACATACATGTACGCACTTTACAAAAGCATATAAAATGCACACAAATTGTGTGCATTTCTTTTATTTGTCAAAATAAATGAGAAAACAGAGCTGCCCTGTGTACTCTGACTCTCTGAATTCTGTTATTTAATATTTATTACTGCTTTAAATGTTACATTTCAAGAATAATTATAAACTGTATGTTCAGAACTTAAACATATTCAGTTTTATTTATATACTGCCAAATCACAAGTTGCCTCAGCAGTGCACACGTTCTTTATGCCATCAGCTTCTGCAAACGTTACTAAACATCAAATCATGTAAGACATCATCTTGGACATGTCAACAATAATAGAGTAATACAGTTCTGTTCTGAGGAGATTTACACAACCTCATGAATATATATGTGTGGACGTATAAATATGGACATAAATATATCTATATAAAGCAGTTTTGCTTCACTGTGATGTTTGGCAGCTTGACAGTAGTTGCATTCATGGACATGAGCTGTTTTTTCTTGCTTAGGCACAAGTTGCAGCAGCACAGTGATAGTGCATAGTAGATAGTGGAAGTGGAGGATAAAAACAACAGCAGCTCCTGTATTCTTAACCCCACTCAGTTAAGTCGGTTATGGCTTTGACCTACTTCCTCTGCTTGGCAAACACAGTGATCTGTAGCATGATACCTACTCTGCAAATCCCTTTAAAACGCAGACTAATATTATTTAATCTACTCATTATCATGCTCCATCACCAGTGGTTAGTGGAGGATGGTTGAATAAGGCTATGTAGATGATTCAGACTTGGTGTAAAGAACTGAATTCTGTTGGGTCCAAAATGTTGTTTTTTATTAAATCCATGGCTTCATCTCAGCTTGTATGTGTTTGGTCAACTATTGGGTATAAAGTGTCAGACCACTACGTCCTGTGAGGGGAACAGTTTCTCTCAGAACTCAGGTTATGTTGACACACCTGCAGAAAGCACGAGCTTTATTCACGAGGACAAGTTTTTGTCCGAGTGTGTGGCCGAGCCTGAAGTGGATGTCGTGCTTGGAGAAGCTTCTCCTCTGATAAACCTGCTACACAAGGGATGACAATGTTTTTCCGTTTGTCGTTCAGTTTCTACGCAGCTGACCTTCTTTCCTATGCATCTTTGCTGATTTGACGAAGGTCCTGTTGGGATAACCACATGTTTTAAGAACTTTCTATCCATGCGTGTTCCTTTTCTTTCTCTTCTCTCTGGTGTTGCAGGGTCCTGATTACTCCAAATCTGTGTTCCACAGGATGTTTGGAGTCAAAGAGTAGATACTAGTCTCTGTGTGTGGGCTTCAGTGTTGAGGTTTCCATCTTCCTCAATGCATACAGCACAGTCCAGAAATGGCAAACTATTATTCTTCTACTTCATGGGTTTTGATTTTGACCCAGATGTCATCCACATATCTGTGCCGGTCTTTAGGGGCTGTTCCTTTGAAAGAACCAAAAGCTTTACTTTCCACTTCCTCCTTATAAAGGCTGGCTGCAATGGCTGACACCGGGGAGCCCATGGCACATCCATATTTTGATGTACAAACCCTGGTTGCATGTGTTGGTGAGGCGGGGTGAAGCTGATTCTGTTTTCTATGGCACGGTCTTACTGTAGGTGTTGGTAAGTTTTTGTTTGCCATATGTGGAACTTCCAAAATCGTTCTTCTCCTTTAATGTCTTATGGAAACTGTGCTTTGTCCACAAACTAATGGATCACTAAAGTCAACGTCATTTCATGGACATTTTTTTAATTAAATATGTTACAGTACAGTACTGGCTACTTTTTAAGTAATCACTATTTGAATGCGGATCCTAAGTCAGACGTGAGCTGTGTAAGCAGTCAGACAAGTGCGAGTGAAAAAAATGAAAGAACTTAAGTTGAGCATCTTATTGAAGTTAAAGAGCCAGAGCAACATCTACAAGCAGCAACACATGTGACCTCTGCAAACACAAAGGAGAGTAGTCGAGTGTTGTTACTTGTGGGGACAGAAGTATAAAAGACTTACCTAGGCCATTCTCACAGTCTGTAAACTCCATGGAATGAACAGCCCGGTCAACTCCGTATGGACCCATTAGTGTCCTGTTAGAGGTCAGTGGATAAAAAGGAAGCAGGAAGCAGGGAAAGGAAAGAGAGTGAGGGAGAAAAAGATGACGAAATAGGAAAAAAAACCCAAATCTAACTATTTTTTTCACAGGCTGCACTGCTACACAATCAGAATCCATCCATCACATAGGAGAACTATAGTATTGGGAACTTAACCTCAGATAGCTTCTCCTGTCTAGGCCTGAGACTTTGTCACCACACACAAGGCAAGGAGTGTGTCTTCAGTGTGTGCTGCAGATACTTCGTTGTGAAAATGAGTCTTCTATTCATGGTACTGTCAAAAATCTTTCTCAAATTATGAACACAAAAGAATTCTTTCCTCACACTGCTGTTTGAAGACAAGACCAAATACAGCTGTGACAGTAGCAGAGGAAGCAGAAATGAGACAGCAGCATTGAGTAACTCCAAAGCATCTTGGTAAGATCTCACACAGTGAGCAATTCTCTGAGCGATAGGGCTGGCACACATGTTGTTCGTCTTATGCAATAATGCTGCACAAGAGGACTGCACACTGCAGCTTTCCCCTTTTCCCTCTTTACTAATCCTCATCTAACACTTGCAAAGCATCCCTTTGCTTCCCTCATTAGACACTGCTAAAGACAATGCAGAATACTGCAAATGAACAAACCATAAATGTCACTTTTTTGGTATCTGGAACGATGTCTTTTCAGCGCTTTATTTTAGTTTGCAGTTCCCTTCCTGTCTACACCCAAATGACAAAAAGGACTATCAATATTTTAGCTGCAGAGGGTTCGCCACTGCTGTCAGTAAAAACAATGAGGCTGAACTTCGAAAGAAACACTGGCTGATAACACAAAGATGCAACGTTCAGGATGGAGCTGGACATTTTAAAATCATCTGTTAATGATGGATATACAGTCTCACACTAGAACAGCGGGATTCACTGTTGATTTTTGTGGTTTGGATTCATTTTACTGCTTTGGGCTGTCTTTGATTAATGGTCATGACAATTTGCATATTAATGATGAAGAAACTGAGCTCACAGCCCGTTGTTCAGTGGTGCTAGTTTCAGTTTTTAGGCAAATGTACTGTTTATAAGGTTGGGGAAACCTGCACTTGGATGAGTGACGAAACGTTTCTCCTACTGAAAATGCTAATTTGTATTTGTATTCCTTGGACCAGAGAGCCGGTTTCCACTTTGCTACAGTCCATTTTAAATGAGCTTTGGTCCAGAGAATCACTGATCATGTTCACATATGGCTTCTTCTTTGCAGGGTGGAGCTTTAACCTGCATGTGTGGACAGCACAGGAAGTGTTCCTGAGCCCATGCATCATTTCCACCACACAATCGTGTCTGTTGTTAATGCAGTGCTGCTTGAAGGACCAAAGATCACACGAACAAATGAAAAAATGAAAAAGAAAAAAATAGTGAAACTGCACCACAGTTTGTTGGCAGTTTTTTCATCAGCCTCTCCACGACACTCTTTTCATACCGAGTTGTGTTACTTACTAGTTAACCTGATCAGCTGCTAAATGTTACTCCAGCTGTTTCTTTTGAGCACCACTTACTTTTCCAGGTTTTTGTTGCCCTGACCCAATTGTTTTGGAAGATGTTGATGCCATTTTCATGAAATACAGTCCTGAACAAAGTTTTAAGACCACTTGAAAAATGGCAAAAAATCCTATTTTGCATGTTTGGATCTTAACAAGGTACCAAGTCGAGCTTCAACATGCAACAAAAAGAAATGGGAGTGACACAAAACATTTTTTTGAGCATGCAAACAATGCTTAAACTGAAACAGGCTGTTTTACAGCTGATCAAAGTTTAGGACCACACCTCCAAAAAACCTGTAAACCCCCCAAAACAGAAATCAATGTTGCAAACATGAACTCAGTAATGAGTCGCTCCACAGTGATCGTTGATCACTTCAAAAATTCGTTGTGGCATGCTTGATGCAAGTGTTTCCATGAGGTGAGTGGGAACATTTCTCCAAGTGGTGAAGACGGCCGCATGAAGGCATCTACTGCCTGGATCTGTTGTCGGTTTTTGTAAACTTCCCATCCCCAAAGGTTCTCAGTTGGATTTGGATCAGGGGAACACGCAGGATGGTCCAACAGGGTGATGTTATTGTCCTAGAAGAAGTCTCTTGTCCTGCAGCATTGTGTACTGTTGTCATGATCCTGGGTCTGTTGACCCAGCGTTTTGAGTTTTAGTTTATGTAAGCCCGTCAGGTTTCCTAAGTTCATTTGTTATCATGCCTAGGTGTTTCTAGTTCTTATTATTTTCCCCTCGTGTTTCCAACTATGTTAAATCTCCCCTGCTCTTCATGCGCGGAGGCCCGGATCTCTGCCCCAGCATTCACTGCGCCCTGCGGGGTGCTGGAGCTACGTGGTTCAGACATGTGTCCCCCATCTTCTTTGGGGGGGCACAATTCACTCTTAGAGTTCAGAACATAACCCACATTGCCATTACTGTCCTCTTGACTTGGGACACGAAACTCAGGTGAATTGTGCTTATCGAGTACAGGAGTGAGAGCATCACTCAGAGGCTGCTTTGAATTGTTCTCCTCTGGTTTACCTAATAATTTGGTCTCACACAATTCATAACAAGTAGTAGAGTCACGAGATGAACGAGCTGAGGAACAGTCAGGTTGATCACTGGGTACAGACAGGGTGTCATTATTTAAGTCACAGCGCTCATGACCAGAGGTTATATCACCACCCTTCACACCAAACATGAGTTCGTGATCAATACTTTCATCGTTCAGCGGCAGCAAGTATTACGGGCGTATCGCGAGGACGAGCGCCGTTGGAAGCCCTGGCTCATCCCCGAGGAGGAGTTCTCGCCAACCGCCCCGCCTCGCACCTGCCGCCCGTAATACTTGCTGCCGCTCCTCCTCGCTGAAGTCAATAGCCGCTGGCATCTCCTTGATCCGCGTAGTGCAGTCAGGCGGTGGCGAGGATGCGGAAGCCGATGGAGCGTGAGCCGAGGGTGTGGCGGCGGTGAGCCTCACCGTACCGACTCTGACGGCTTCTGGCTCACGAGGCAGCGGGGAAACTGAGCTACCGCATGACTCTGGCGACGGCTCACGCACACAGGACCGCTGCAGTTGCGGGCGGAGTTGGAGAGAGGAGACGAGAAAGTCAATGACGAGGGGATGCAGCGCCTCCCATAACCAAGGGAATACGGACACGCATACCCCTACTTGGCGGGCTAACTCGTTCCGTTCCTCCTCTCTGGAACACCGCAACCACTTGCCGCATAGCGACTCCACTGTCCGGATGATCTCCCGTTCTTGTGTCGCTGGGTCGCGTCGTACAGCTAGAGGAAGAGTTCGGGAGGGAGCCGTGGCTCGCCCCTGATCGTGGTGAGCGCTCTTTCCGGGGAACACGCCTGGCTCTGGGGGGCCCTCGGAGCTGCCAGGGTCTGCCACCCCTCACCTCCCCAACAGCCAATGCTTCAGCCTCAGTGGCTCCCTCAAGGAAGAGGCGACATCCACGTCGCCGCAGCACCTTGCAGCAGCTGGAGGTTGGTGGAACTCTCGTTTCCTCTCGGACTCCGTTAATAATAGAGGTTAGTGACAATCTTTCGCCTCAAAGTCTTCCTGAGTTGCTGGAATGTGACTGTCATGAAGGGTTCGCAGATGCTCCAGAGATAAAGACAATTTCTACATGTGGTGGAGGAGCGATAGCTACCCATTGCTCCTCAACACCACCCATTCTCTTGCTAAACGATGAAAGTATTGATCACGAACTCATGTTTGGTGTGAAGGGTGGTGATATAACCTCTGGTCATGAGCGCTGTGACTTAAATAATGACACCCTGTCTGTACCCAGTGATCAACCTGACTGTTCCTCAGCTCGTTCATCTCGTGACTCTACTACTTGTTATGAATTGTGTGAGACCAAATTATTAGGTAAACCAGAGGAGAACAATTCAAAGCAGCCTCTGAGTGATGCTCTCACTCCTGTACTCGATAAGCACAATTCACCTGAGTTTCGTGTCCCAAGTCAAGAGGACAGTAATGGCAATGTGGGTTATGTTCTGAACTCTAAGAGTGAATTGTGCCCCCCCAAAGAAGATGGGGGACACATGTCTGAACCACGTAGCTCCAGCACCCCGCAGGGCGCAGTGAATGCTGGGGCAGAGATCCGGGCCTCCGCGCATGAAGAGCAGGGGAGATTTAACATAGTCGGAAACACGAGGGGAAAATAATAAGAACTAGAAACACCTAGGCATGATAACAAATGAACTTAGGAAACCTGACGGGCTTACATAAACTAAAACTCAAAACGCTGGGTCAACAGACCCAGGATCATGACAACTGTAGCATTGTCCTGTTGATAAACCCAGTGGTTACCACACAGACGAGGGCCCTCAGTCATGAGGGACGCTCTCTGCAACATCTGGACACAGCCAGCAGCTGTTTGACACCCCTGCACCTCCTGAAGCTCCACTGAAGGAAAAAGCACCCCAGGCCATTATGGTCCCCCCCTCCACTGTGGAGCGTAGAGAACACCTCGGGTGGGATCTGCTTGTCATGCTGGTAACGTTGGAAACCAACAGGACCATCAAGGTTAAATGTGTTCTCATCAGCGAATAAAACTTCCTTCCACCTTTCAATGTCCCATGTTTGGCGCTCAAAGTCCAAACAGTCAGTTCTGTGGCGTCCAAGGACACGAGGCCTTTGAAGACCTTTCTTGTTTTGGAAGCCCTTCAGTCTGAGATGCCGTCTGATGGTTATGGGGCTGCAGTCGGCACCAGTAATGGCCTTAAATTGGGTCGAGGATCTTCCAGTGTCTTGACAGACAGGATCCTTCGGCTCTGTGCTGGTGAAGTTGTTTTGGGTCTTCCACTTGACTATTTTGTTCCATAACCCTCAGGATCATTTAAGAAATTCCAAATGACTGTCTTACTGCGTCCCCACCTCAGCAGCGATGCCGCGCTGTGAGAGACCCTGCTCATGCAGTTCAACAACCCGACCACGTTCAAAAGGGAACGTTTTTTGCCTTTGCCATCAGAACGTTATGACAGTGAGACTACCTGACAGAAAATGATGAATCCACATTTTAACACAGATTTGGCCTTAAGGCATGTGGACCTAAACTTTGGATCAGCTGTGAAACAGCCTGTTTCACTTTAAGTGTTGTTTTCAATAAATTGCATGATCCAAAAATGTTTTGTGTCACTCCCATTCCTTCTTGTTGCATGTTGAAGCTCTACTTGGAACCTTGTTAAGATCCAAACATGCAAAATAGGATTTTTTGCCGATTTTCAAGTGGTCTTAAAGTTCTGCTCAGGACTGCAGTAAAATGTTTCAGTTGAAACATTTGATGCTTTCTCTATGTTCTATTCTGAATAAAATGTTTTTACACCACATCCCAACTTTTTTGGAATTGTGGTTGTACAAAGGTCACATTGGCCAGGAGTTGGAAAGCAGCCATGATGGTTCACGTTACATCTCCACATATATTTTAGAACGCAGCTGGTAAAATCCACAAAGAGCATTAAACCTCAGCACCAGCACGGTCAGCTGATTAGTCATTTCCTGCCACTGAACAGCTACAAAGGTTCCCCCCTTTCCCCAGTCCCAGTTTAACCCTCAGGTCTACAGGTGTACGGCAAGCTGAGTAATTGTCCTAAAAAAATTGAGTGCACTGAGTTATATCACATTCAGACCAATATAGTGGCAAAAGCTAAACCCATAGGCATAACCACAGACAACATAAAAGATGGATGAGGCCAATGTGAAATCACCGACTGCTTGTTTCCAACCTGGATATGGCAGTGAGGGGTGGATCCAGCTATGAAACCACCCGCTCATTGGTTAATGCCTTGTGTGTTTCCAGAGGTGACAGCAGATTACCCATGTAACACTATAGGACATACAGTTTTTATGCAACTATAGCTGTTAACCCCTGCTGGCCTTTTGAAAAGAAAGGTATGATGGCGCCTGTGTTTGGCTCTGCCGCTGCCGGGTGCAGTTTGTCGCGCTCTGCTACTTTGTGTTATTTTTTTCTGCTCTGCTGTTCTCACTTAGTTTTAACGATGTATTGGCTGCCTTGGTGTATGATCGTCTGGCTTTGCTATCCATCCAATCCTCTATGGTGCCTCACAATGTCTCTTCGTCCTCCGCCGGTATTTTCCACCCGCCTCCATCAGCTGGAGCCTCGCTAGGCACTTTCGGCGGTTCCTCTAGACCACGGAGAAGGAGAGGGAGAAAAGGAGCTGTTTGGGTAAAGCTCAGGCTTTACTGGCGGCGGGGTTTGGCTGGTAAGAAACGCCAAGCGGACCTTGTCTCCTGTGCTCGGAGAAGCTACATGGAGGGGACTTGTCTTCCACTTCCCTGTCTGAGGAGGGTTTATCCAGACTCTTCTGCCGTCTGGCCCTTTATTCCCTCGGTGAGTGGATTCTACGAGCGTGATGGCTCAAACGTAGATACTCAAAAGTATCTACGTCCTGTAACTCGAGCCCCTGCAAATACTGAGGCTTCTACCTCACTGAATATGGCGCTTTTAAATGCTCGATCTCTGTCTATTAAATGCCAAAAATGAGCTCACTCCACAGAAACAGCCCTTCTTAGGGTCTCAAATGACATTTTGATGAGTAATGATGCAGGAAAATACTCTGTCCTACTTAGTTTGGACCTCACATCAGCTTTTGACAGTGTTGACTACCACATCCTCCTTGAAAGGCTTCAACACTGGGTTGGTGTATCTGGAACTGCCTTAGAGTGGTTCTCCTCATATCTACATCAACCATCCTTTTCTGTGATGGTCTCCGGTTTTAGGTCATCCTAAATTCACATGTGACACCATTGCTATCTCAGCTTCACTGGCTTCCTGTGGAATTTAGAGTCCATTTTAAGTTCCTGGTCTTGACATTCGGAGCCTTGCATGGACTGGCACCAGTCTACATCTCTGATCTGCTACAGCCATATGTCCCTAGCAGGTCCCTGAGGTAATCTGATCAGGGCTTACTTGCTATAAAAAAGACTAAGATGAGAACTAATGGTGACAGAGCTTTTGCCACTGTGGCCCCGAGACTGTGGAACTCTCTCCCCCAAACATTAAGAACTGTGGACTCAGTCGTTGTTTTTAAAAAAAAACAACTCAAAACTCACCTTTTTAACTGCTTTTGATTCATTTTTGCCTGTTTTATATTGTTTTACCTTTTATTATTTGTTATCTTATGTGCAGCACTTTGTGACTCTGTCTAGAAAGGTGCTGTTTAAACAACATTTTATTTATTTGTTTATAAGGTTCATACAGTCTATGGGCATGACCGGAGTCACGAATACACTCGCTGAAGCTTGGTGCCATTCAAAAAACTCAGTGGTTGTGTTGTTAGACACACATGGATGAAGTATCACTTGTGGCATGAGAAACATATTGTAAACATAACTGAAGCAGCTCCACACTGCCGACTGCATCATTCACCCTATCGGATAAAATGTCGATGAGACAAGCTTCCAAACGTCTGTCAGTAAATGTTCCAACTTTGGTAAAACACGGACCACCAAATCGGCAACATTTACAAAATCAATGAGCCACACAGTAAAAGCACAGACTGAACATTAAATGTCCACAATGGAACCCGCTAATGAGAGCCGATAAAGTGCCTCATAGAGGCTCTTTTCAAAGGAAACTTGGGACGCACTTGGTCTCTGATGTGGAGCTCATCCGTTTGTAGCGCATGCAAGAAAGATCACTGCATCATTTCACGCGGAAAACTAGAACATATCGATAAGCCTGAGAGAAGAGCACGAAGCACAGCTCCGTGTGAGACACGAAGCAGATCCACGCGCCTGTGTTACAGACGGACAGTCAGCGTCACGGTTACCAGAAAAAGCCCGAGAAGACACGCGGTGTGTTTGGTTTCCACGGGACAGAGTTATGGTTAGTAAACGCATCTCCGTGTTTCCAGAGTTCAGCTGTCAGCATCGTGTCACCGCTGCTGTCACACAGACTAACCTCTACCTGCACACGCAGCCGCTCGCCTTTACCTGCTGATGATCACCGCTCCTTTGTACATGACTGAAAACGTTGGCATGTTGACATGGAGCCCGGTTCTCCGGTGAGACAGGCGGAGGCTCGGTCGCAGCGTTCAGCCTTCAGCCAGCAGCCACATGATGGTGCACAGGCACTAATTCCAGCGAAGCAGCCTGTGCGCTCCAAACATCTCCACCTTCAGCCACACGGTTAATCTCTTACATAACTAAAGTCGGCGGAAAATGAAAAAAAAAACCCTCTGAGGCTGGAAATGATTCGGTGGTTTGTTTCGCACACATTTCTCACCCTACCTGTCATTTTCTCTTGCTGTGGCTGTGCAGCGGCTTTATTTGTTGCTGGGAACAGCTCCATTCAACGGAATCTGCCTTTCCCCTCTCTCTGGATGTTTGTGCTACTTTGATGGTAACGTGTTTAATTTTGTTTGGCCTCGTTACGCGTGAACATGCGTCTTTCCATAGATTCTACCCACACTTCCATTTGTATCAACCACAGCTTCTTTTAAGACGATATTGGTCACTGCGCTAACAAGTTCTTGTTGAGCCAGAGAGGAGGGGCTTACGAGCCTTTAAACACATTAATGCACAAGTGCCCTGCTCTCCATTTAGAAACTGCAATTTAATCCCCAGATGACATCCATTACTCTGCCTTCATCTTTAGCATTCAGACCGTCTATGCTGTCATCTTCACTACTCAAACAACGATTCTTCATTTTGGCTTTATTTTGATCAGCTAATGTTACAAAAATGCGAGAAAGAAAAAGAAAAGTTACCACAGTGCTGTCTCAGCTCAGTGCTGCTAGGAAGCTTTTTTGTTAGAGACAGCCTCATCCATGATCCCTAAAATGAATTTAATGCAAAGACAAAATCAATCAATCAAATGGAGGCAACAGCGCTTAAAGATACAACACTGGTGACTGTAACTGAGCTGTTTCTTGTGTGTTTCCACCCAGCAACATGACTGTGCCCCTCCCACCGGACACAGGTAAAACCTGCTGAACCTGCCTGTGTTTGAATTCACTGTTACACTACATTCATAAATGGGGGAGCGCTCCAGTGTACACTCTGTAGCTTCTTTTTGATTCAGTTTGGTGCGTAACTTTTCTAGATTTGAGGTGTAATTTTCTATCAGTAAAAGATCCTCACTGGCAGGTACAGCACAAGTGGAGGTTTGAATAGAAAGAATACACTAAGTATATTTTTTAAGGTTCTTGCTTCTAGAATTTCCTGACATTGTTATTACATGTAGATCCTTACAGTGTCATTTGCAAATTGCCCAAAGGCACGTAATAATTAGAAAATACATAAACATTTTTCTCATATGGTAATTTTAGTTGCTGAAAGTTACCCCCCTACACGAATAAAGAAATGCATGGTGACTGGTCAGTAATTACACCATTATTTGTGTGCTGTATTATAAAGTGCTGCCCCCAAATAAACTTTCTGAGTGACACGGGCGTGAGGCTGCAGGAGGTCTTTGACACAAACAATAAATAACAGTAAAATTCATAGGAACATTTCCTGGAGCACCGGGTGCTGAGATATTCATCTTCAGCCTGAGACACTGAAACAGCTGAAAACCTGAAAACCTACCTGGCAAATCCTAGAGGCACTTTGAGTCTTTGAAGCATGTCTGTGCTGTGGTGCAAAAGCCTGGACGTTAGCTTGTGGTTGTTAACATATGCTCTGCATATTTCCAATCACGATGCTCCGCAGCTGCCAGCAGATATGGAGAGTACCAATTGATGAAGTGATGATAAGCTTATGCACACAAATCCATACAGCACAAGCACGTGCTAAATATAGGCCTCTGTAAGAAGGCTGTTCAAATACTCCAGGCACAGATCAGACTGTATGACACACACGGAGTTGCTTACAGCTCGGTGGGGTTTCCTTGCTCTTGTCTGCTTTGCTTCAGTCTGTATTACTTCACACTAAAGCTGCCCTGATTATCTTTACATATTTTCTCCTTCATTCCTGCTTCTTTACATTTTCTTCTTAACTCTTTGAGTTCTAGCTACTGTGCATACTAACGTTTATTAGTTCTTAACTTCACATCTGTCTCTGAGCTTCTTCCATCTTCTGTTTTTGCATTTAGCTTTACTTCCTGCCTGTGACTGTGTTGATTGTGTGCACCTGTGTCTAACCACCATTAGCATTCACTTTATGTGTATAGTCCTGTATTTGCCTCAGTGTGTTTCATATACAACCTGCATGTCCCTGGAAAGTACATTTAAACTTTTAGTCTGTACAACATAGATTGTTTTGAGCGGAGTTTTGTCCATGTTAGCATCAACACAGCCCGGGTCCATGTTTATATCTGTAATTCTGATCAGAAATTGATTAAAAACAAAACAAAAACAACAGATAAACAAAAGACACCCAGATTTGTTCAGCAAAAATAACACATTGATGTTTGAAGCATAAACCCTATCACTGATGTTACCATTACCAGCACTAAGCTGCTATGTTAGCTTAATGTCCCCATTGTGATTCAGATGTCACTGATGGGGTAAAAAGCCAAGCTATGAACTACAGTTTCACATCCAGGTCCATGTTTGAGGCTTGGCTGTGCGGAGATCCCATATCGCCTGCATGGGTTCATTAGACACAGTAAATAGCTGTGCTCAGTGGGGCAAACAGGAGCCCAGAGAGAACCAGCATGGCAAGTTTGACAAATGAACCCAGGTCTGTAACTTAGAAACAGTTATCCTTATTACTGGTGCAGTATGGGGACTTCTCTGTGCAGGTGACTAAGATTTAAACCAGTCAGCTGATATTAGGGTGTGTTATAGTACAAGGTTCTGTCTGTCTATGAACAAAATGCCATAAACAAGCTAAATTTAAAACCAGCTGTCGAGCAGATTAATCTGGCGTGGATCCACATCATATTCTTTAAAAGGACAGCAGTGTGGTATCGACCCTGACGCTCTCTGAATCCTGTTCAGACTACACGCTGGATTCATGAATTCAGTCCGTGCCGGTAAATCCAACTTTTAAGCTTTTAAAAAACTGATCCGAGCCCAGTCTGACTATCACATGGACTCGCATGTGATTACACATTTAGGTTTACAAGACCTGGTTAAAGATATTGTTATTAAAACAAAAAGGAACATTTCTGTTCAATCTATCAGTTTTTCAGTTCAATAAAATAAACCATTATTACAGTGACAGCGGAGATACAGTAAAAACAGTTCAAAACTGTTAAAGCAGTGAGTTGTCTAAAGCCAGGACAAGGTTTGTGATGTTTTCCAGTTGTTGGGATTAAAGAAGCTGGAGTCTTTCCAGGCCCTTACCAAACCCTGAGGTCTTGTACTGACTCCAGAGACAGGCTTTGGGAGCACAGATGTAAGCTTGGCTAATGCTTGACTGCAGTCGTAGCCAACCTGAGATTTGTCTCCAAATGTGAAGCATCTCATCCTTTAGAGCCTGCACCAGACAAGGCTTCACAGTCCCAGACACTTTCCACAAAACACAAAGAGACACGGTCCTATCCCAGTGAGCAAAGTGGAAATTGATTTAAGCAGCTGATTAAAGTAACAGGCTCTCATCACTAACTCCCCTTTCCACGCTGCACACAATGTAAACCAGCGTTTCCCAACCACTGTGAGAAATGATCAGGTGTGCCGTGGAACATTATTAGTACTGGCCAACCTGATTGGTGCTCTAAGCGACGGCGTGAGTAACGGGCAGAACAATGACGTTCTCTTCCACTAGAGGGCAGTACAACCACCTGCTCTAATAAATGTGTTGCCAACTGGCAGTAAAAACAGAAGAAGACGAAGAAGAACTTAAATAACAGTCATGGTGTGAGACGATGTTTAAAAAGAAAGTGTTCAGTCTGACCTGGTCCTGGAGAAAACTCGACCCAGATGAAGGCCCTAGCATGAGTAGTGGTCAGAAGGAAGCAACAAAGGTATACTGGGACAAACCGAGCCAGTTCTGCTATATTTGGTGGAAGAATGATCCGTATGGTTTTTGACATGTCTGTTTGGTGGAGTGCTGTGAGATTTTTCTAATGTGAAATATGAACCGTGCCTCTAAAGCCTGGGAAACACTGGTGTAAACACACTGCATGCTTCACTAAAACATCCCATTAGATGCAAAGCTGCACATCTGAGTCATAAAAGAGCTGGGACATCACTGCACTTCTTGTTGCTTCTCACATTGTTTGTTTGGTTTCTTTTTTGCCTGGGAGCATGAGCAGCTGAGTGTGTCAGCGATGTGCGCTCTCCTTTGTTTATACATACGCACACACTGTTGTGTCTCTTTGTGTCGTCGTTTCCCAACAAATGAACACAATGTGAGTCTACAGAAAAGAAATGATTTTATTTTGTGTTAATTCTCTAATGTCTTTGGTTCCATCGTGTTTGTGTTCTTCTGTAACACCAGAATTAAGCTTTTACTTTATTATGTATGTCTCTTTATAATGCTGTGTAATGTTGCAGCACACATAAAATAGTATGTAAAGCCCACGTCCCCACATCTCTCCCAGGAGTAACAAGGAACCTTTAAGCTTGACAGAAGTAGTTATTTGAATTCTATTTTTCATCACATGTATCTGTTTAAAGTGAGATAAGACATCACATAGCCTGTTCAGCTGTGTGCAGTTCAGCTTTGTCAGTCACTTCCTGTCTTACTTTATTGTCTGGTGTTTTATTTCCTGTCTGTCATCGTCCTGACTGACTTCAGCTCCGAGGTTCCCCAGGTATCTCCACTTCCCTTCTTACCTCCTGTGTATCTAAAGTCACTTTAGTGTCTGTGTTCATTATCCCGACTCATGGCTGCTTTGCATAAGCTGTGGCACTTTGGATTCTATTTTTTGCCTTTGAATTTCTGAATTCCACCTTAAAGGTTGTTTTGTCATTGAAATAATAGCTGCAGGACAGAATAAAGGATGCAAGACAACAGCAGCTCAACCCTGATAACTTACTGTAGCTCATTGTACCAGTGAAAGGAAGAGAAAAAATCATGGATGACCGAGGCCTTACATGGGACTAATCATCAGCACACGGAGGAAGTTGCATTGTTGTGTAGTTAGAGGAGAGGAGGCTCCAAATCCAGGACATGAGGCCACGATGAGTAAAGAGCTTTAACCTGGCAGAAGCACAATCTAAAATGAAACAAAAGCCCAGCGTACAAACAGAGGAACTTCTAACTAACACACAAAGTACGAGAGAGCAGTGGTGGGACCAAGTCATTGTTTTGCAAGTCTCAAGTAAGTCTTAAGTCTTTATCCTCAAGTCAGAGTCGAGTCTCAAGTCACTGGTGTAAAAGTCCGAGTAAAGTCACAAGTCTGAAACTTTGAACTTCAAGTCCTTTCGAGTCTTTAAAAAAAAAAAAAGCATGTTGCAGTTATGCTAAATGTAAATATTGGACCATGTGATTTTTAAATCTCTGTTTTTCTCAACACATGACGAAATACTGAACTTAGAAAATATACACAAATTGTGAAATTGCACCTCTATGAGATGCAGCTCAATTAA